CACACACACACTCACACACACACACACACACACACACACACACACGATCTTCCTTTCATCTGGAACCAATGTCCCTCATCTGCTCTGTCCTCAGGGGGAACACTTTGCTCTGCGCGCTTTACGGCTTCAGTTCGCCTGATTAATACTGTAGCCATCTCTAGCTTTGGACCCCATTGGGCATTTCCGCCAAAACTAAGCACAATGTTTCCAAGTGCAAGAGGCAAAAGAAGCATCCTCGCAATCAAAAAAGAAATAAAAAAATGCAGTTTGTGCGAGTCTATCTCAGAGCCAAAAATGTACTTAGCGAACTGGCTTTGGGAGGCAGAAGCTCTAAATAATGAATCACCTCTTAGAGGCTTGAATAACATGAATAAAGTATAAATCCTATTTTCTAGCGAGGCCAAGCTCCAAACACAACGCATTGCGGGCATAAAGTCAAGATCAAAACAACCCCCCCCCCCTCCAAAAAAGAAAAGGGGAAACAAAAAGAGCCGCTACGTCAAAATGAGGGGGGGATGCATCTGTGAACATCTGGAATTCATATTAGAAGAGGCAGGCGGGGGGGCAGAGCTGGAAATACAACAGGAAATGGACAGCAAAGACGGGAGGAAGAAAAAATGGAGGGAGCAAAGACAATGACTCATACATGAGCGGAGTCATGTGCTTAATTTCCTTAAGGAGCTGGGAGGAATGAGAGAGGGATCGCGGCGCGGAGGCCGCCAGAGTGGAGTGTGTCTCACTCTCAACGCCACAGAACATGAGAAGCAAGGAGATTGTGTGCGATAGTTAATCATGCTTCAAACTCTTCTTTTTCTTTTGTTTGGTGATGACAAATGAAGCACAGCTGATTCTTGTCTGGGGGCGGCGGTGGTGGTGGTGTTTTGCTTTTTTTGAGGTGGGGTGCGGGGGGCAAAAACAAGAGACTGCAGGGGAATACCGAGTGAGCAATCTGGAGAAAGTAACAAAATGACTGGAAGTCAACAGATGGCAAGGAGGGGAGGGAGGAAAGGCAAGCTCGGGGGAGGGGGGTATAGGGACAACCCTGTAGTAATAAAATCTGAAAACATGGGAGGGATGAGAAGCTCAGCTACCTCCAATGCCCTCCGTCACACTATCCTTTAACAAGGCCCTGCTACTTGCTCTCCAAAAACTACAGGCGGTGGCAAATGTCCGTCCGTCCGCGTGTGATTGTTTTGTGAGCGATGTCTAATTTAGTCACAAAGACCCGTGTCTACCCACGTCTCACTGCTCCGAGAGTCATCCTACCTGGCTGCAAAGCCGGAGCACTCCACGCACTCGGGAGGATGTGAATCCATTTCATCCACAGAGCACTTATGTGCTCAGCCTGCGAGCAGTCGGCCCGGCGATCTGAAGTTTGTTTTCCCCTCGATGTACTTCACGTCCCTCCGACTTTGCACGGCAAACCTACACGTGCTTTTGTCAGGAGGATGTGAGCTGCGGGCAAAGTGGGTTTTGGAAGCCGGCTCGACAGTTCTAGCATTAATAATAATAATAATAATAATAATAATAATAATAATAATAATAATCATCATCATACGGCAGCATCGTCTAGCGAATCACACGCAACATAATCAAACTCGTGTCCGCTGATCTGCAACTCAAGATAAAACTGTTATTTTTATCCCCCAATTTATTTCACATCTGATTGGAGAAGATTAGTATTTGCATGCAATTATTTACTGCAGAACATAATTGCCCATCATGATTACTCTCCGTGATTATTTCACTGCAGCACCATTGCACTAAAACTAAAGCCTGATGCTGGACTCTTTGGGGCCACGCTGATGCCCAGTTTTGGTGGAGAATTTTGCCAGCTGTAAATCTTTGACATCCGAGCGAGGTTTTATTAAATCTGAAGAGCACCAGGCTCTGAAACCACCTGGTTAAACTATGTGATAAATAACATATCTCTTAATAATCTGAAGCACTTTTATGTGAATTATGCGTACGGCTGCTGTTACACATTATTATCCATCTTGTTTTATTCGTCAATACACATACACAGTATACTGATAGTGTTATCCACACCAAATTTATATTGTTCTACATATAACTAAGATAAAAGACACTAACTATTTCTGAGCCTGGCGCATTCTCTTTTACATAAACTGAAATAAGTATACTTTTATAAACACTGTAAGAGTGACAACTCACTTAACTGCAGTTGACATGCGAGGATAACAACACTTAACAGGACACTAAATCTGCCCCCGGAGCAGATCACCAAAACATGCAGGAGTCTCTCTCAAACATAATTCAGTCAACAGACCTCCACTGGCAATTCATCACAGGAAAAAAAACAACTAAATAAATGCTCTCAACTCAGCAGCAAGAGTTCATTTTTCTTGCTGGTGTTTTCTTTCCTATTTCAGTGCCGGGCCCTGGGATGAAGGTACAGCGGGGTGATCCACCGACATTAATGTCCAAATCAAGTCATTTGTCCTCGTCGCTGTCACCCCCCCGGGGGGGCCCAGACCTTATTAGGGTAGGAGAGAGCCCCGGTTCCTACGCAGAGTGACAACAAAACATGAGTCGCTGAGCAGCACGCCAGATGGATATCGAAGCAGACAACCACCTCGACATTTCACGAAGTCTGACGCGGGCTGGGGATGCAGGGTTTTGTTATGAACCCCCCCCCCCCCCCCCGCTGTCATACCAGGGAAAAACGCAGGACTTCCCCAGTGCAGAGCTGTAATGCAAAATAGACTGATAAAAATGTTTAGTCCTTTTTATTGGGAGCACTCTAGCTGGTGGTCTGTGCTGCGGATGACTTAATATTCATTTAAAATCCATACTATTGGACGAGCACAGTGTCGGCTGCAGGAGGTCAGCGGCTAATGTCTACGAGCAGCAGCGGCGAACATTTCAACTCATACCGTTGAATGCATTCAGTTAGATCCATTTGCACACGCTAGCCGAGTCGTATATACTGCAAGCTGCACTGATTTACATGTGCATTGCTGCTCTGCTAAAACTTCGCAGAGGTTCTGACTTCTCGACACGGAGCATTTCCACCCCTGCATCGGGATGACATCATGCACTAATGAGAAAAACAGCAGTGTCAATAGCCAAACGGGAAAGAATCCCATTAGTGGGCTGCAGTGGTACAAATGGATTGCTCTTCGCCACAACCGCACCCCACCGTGTTGGCTTCAGACACAGGTTGGAGTTCAACTCCTGCCGCGATCCCTGCAATAAATGCTTTAAAAATATAAAAGGACGGAAGAAGTGAGACGCTGTGCTTCATGAGAGCCAGGACACGGTGCGATTTCATATTTTCCATCCTCTGAAGATTAGCTTTACAGAAGTGCTTGTGTGCCTTTTTATAGAGGTTACTTTGAAAGCCAAGAGCTCCGAATTAAAAAGTAGGAAAACTGATCGTCACTGCCCCCAGTTTCCTTTTGGGAATATTGACGGTGTCACCGGGTTATAAAAATAGAAATATGTCACAGTGTTTTACTGTAAATACACACACTGCATATATATACATATACATACATATATATATACATATACATACATACATACATACATATACACACATACATACATATACACACATACATACA